TTTACACTAATGATCTACACCTCTTTAATCTCTCAGTGTAATGTAACTTCCTATCGACACCTGTGATACATATAAGCTTAGTGGGTCAGGTTGGGAAACTTGGTGAGTACATAGAGATTTCAATCCCACAATGTTATATCATATATATAATTTAGAACTCACAAAAAATATAATTTCACCATATATATATATATATATATATATATATATATATATATATATATATATATATATATATATAAGCAACTCTTACCCCATACTGTTAATCCTTACAACGAGACTATCCATACTCTCGGACCTTAAATTTTACCTCTTACTTAACACATACTCTCGAATCTAATTCATACTCTCGGATCAATAATTGTGCCCATTCCATACTCTCGGATTAGGGACAAGTGTATATGTGTAAATCCATTCTCCCGGATTAACGACGAATGACTATATCCTATCCATACTCCCGGACCGAGGACGACTGATTGTGTCTTAATCCATACTCCTGGATTAAGGACAACTGACTATGTCTTAATCCATACTCCTAGATTAATCATAGTTAACTATGCCAAATCCATACCCTCGGACTAGGGACAATGATTATGTCTAATCCATGCTCCCAGATAAATGACATATACTAAAATTCTATTCTCTGAGTATAACTCACTCGTACTCGTAAGAAAATACTACCCAATATTCCTCATAATTAATTTAGGTTTACTCTTTATCCTAAATCATCATATATAATTAGGTATGTTATTTAACATATATTTCAGGCAACATCAATTAACTCGCACATAAACATATAATTAATACTTTAATCAATACTTGTATTAAAATCATGTTCATGAAAGGGACTATGCACTCACTTGATAAAGTGGTGACTCGGTACTCGGACGACACTTCGTTTATACTTTAAACAACTCCTTTGACAGAACCTAGTATCATTACTACTAGAGTTTAGTCTAATGCTCAACGAGACTAATTGTTAGTCTAACTATTATTACTGTTATATAAGCGTTAACACAATACTTTTCACCACTATGTACAAACAGGGGCCATACATGGAACACCGGAGGGCAGGATCATTTTGGCATATAGCACTTCTGAAATCCAGCAACCCAAGCGGCCCTCCAAACCAGATTCCCCGTACCGTGAGTGGTTAAAAAGATATTATAATGACACTTATATAACTCATAATAATAACCTAAATATTTATTATATGGTACTAATAACATTACTATATTTAAATAAAAACTATATTTAAAATAGCGTAGGCGTATCTTACCTACGAGGGGGTTTGGCTAGAAGTCGGGCTCTACAGGGGAAGAACTTCTGAGCCGAAAGCGCTTCTTCTCGGAGCCGTCGAGCGCTCCAGGGCTTTCTTCTAGCGCTAAGAGAGTTTTGGGAGGCTTAGAGAGAGTGTAGAGAGAATAAAGAATAGGAAAGGTGTGAAGAAAATGAGGGTGAGAGAGTTTCTATTTATAGGGTAAAATATGACTAAACTTGGTGCCACATGTCAACATCTGGTGGAAAGACTTGGGAAGCAATGGCCAAGATTGTGCCACGTTACGCATTTTCGCACATCACACCTCCGACTTCTAAAATCCGTTACTTTCGCATATGAGCTCCGTTTTTGACGTTCTTTATATCCACGTGTAGGTAAAAATAAGATCTACAACTTTCTTTTTGACTCCGTCGGCTAGTTTTCGACCGATCTTAAATTTAACAGTAGGAGGAGATTATACTGTTAAATGACCGCGAAAAATTCGTAACTCTTTCATACAGACTCCGTTTTCGTCTGTCTTTTTATAGTTGACTTCCTATAAATGAGATCTTCAACTCTCATTTAGGTTGCGTAGGCAAAAAACCGCTCGATCTAAAATTCGAGTTTCGGGTCGTGCACTGCTATGCCAAATCTTAGAAAATTCATAACTTCCTCATACGAAGTCGGATTTGGGCGTTCTTTTTATACACGCTTTCGGATTAACGTATACTACAACTTTTATTTAGGTCAATAAGGCCAAAAAGTCCTCTATCGTGAATTCACTATTTGCGTCTCCCGGTGCCATGCCGGTTTTGCTGTAAAACTTTGACGGACCATAACTTCTTCGTCATAACTCGAATTTCGGCGTTATTTATATGTACGGAACCGGGCATTACATAAGGTTGCTTAAATGGCGTCCAAACCCTAAAATTAGGGTTTATCCCCTGATTGTGTACGCCCAATGTACATGAGGTACACCCATCGTACACACCCTCTTTCTAAAATTTACAATAATGCCCTAAGGACTAAAATTGAAAACTAATTTCACACCACGGGTCCAAGATGAAAAATACCTTGAAACAAGTGTTTCATGCTGAGCGTGAGAGATACAAAGGACCGGGCAGCTCCCGAATCAAACAGAACCAGAGCAGAGATATCGTTCACAAGGAACGACCCTAAAAGTAAAACACAAATATAAGCAGGAAAATCAACATAAATAAAAAAAATAAGAAGAATATACATATCCGTCACCATTTTATAGATTCTAGAATATCTAAAAACATTTTTTTTGTCATTTCTATCTGCACAAGAAAAGAACACAAAAGATGCCATTATGTTTGCTTGTCTTTTCTTATTTCATGATTCTTAGTGTTGAGTTCATTAGTTGAGATTCTTGTTCATACAAAAGCTTTGGGTTCACCACCACACTAAACAAATAAATGACAAATTAAAGAAAAATTACTATGTTTTTAACCTTTTACCAAAAAATTATTATTATTATTATTATTATTAATACAGTTAATCATATATCTTTTTAATGTTTTTTCTTAAAAAAACATTGATAATTTGGTACACCCAATAACAACAGTGCGAAATGCCAAACATAGTTTTTCAATAAAACACTAAAGGTGAGTTTGCTTGGAAAATTTCAAATAAAAATGAAAATTTTGAAAATGACTTTTGTTTAATTTTCAAAAATTTCCAAGATAATAAAAATTTTATATTTTCCAAGTTGTATGTAAACTGAAAAAATGATTTTTATATTTTTACAGGTTTATTGATTTGTTTATTGATTTCTAAAGTTATAGCTCCCCCACCTAAGCTACTCTGACATTAGAATGCCGACTCTTGATTAAAGCTAGGGGCGGATTTTGAGGGGGTCACCGGTGGCACTAACAACCCCTAACTTTTTCGGCTGCAGTGGAAAAATTTTCGTAAATTTTTAAAATTTATATATTTTTTTATTACTGTGCAACCCCTAACTTTCTCCTGTAACCCCTACTGTGAAATTCTGTATCCGTCCCTGATTAAAGCGACTTCGGAAGGCCTGAAATTATGAGTATCCCAGAACACGTTGAATTCACCATTTGTTGGTGATCGAGAAGATGAATTTGTATCATTTCACTAGTAGATAATCATATTGTACATACACATACGCTTTTACAACCACATAGAAACACAACAAAATATATACATACATATACTAACGAGGGGCTGCTAGCAAAGCTTGTGATTGCTTCTCATAGCGAAAACCTGAAGCCTTGGAATCATCTGCAGACCATACAAAAATCCCACCAAGCTTCCCTTGACTTTTTAGCCGATTACAAGCAGTGAAGAACCCGTTCTCTGGTGATAAACCTCCACTTCCATCGGTGGAGATACTAGCCAAGATATTACCACCTTTATAGTTGGAGCTTTGTGTCTGAAAGTACTTCATAAACTGAGAGATGGTGGTCCCCTGATCGTATGCATAAAACTGGAAATTGACATAGTCTATGACGTGAGCATAATCCTTCCAAAGAGCCAAGTAGTGGCTTTGAACTTCATCGTCATCAAATGGAGCTATAGATGCAAAAGAGATGACTCCATTGTTCTTGAGGGTTGTTACAAGCTTCCCGATGCACTCAGCAAACGTCTCAGGATCTGCATGAAAATGCTCGTAGTCGATATCAATCCCATCCAAGTTATACTCTTGGATGATTTTAGTGAGGGAAGAAACAGCATTTGAAACCCATGAATCCACCGATGAAGGGCTGAAGTAACAGCTTCCTCCTCCCACACTGTCTCCTCCTAAGCTCAAACCTACTTTGACATTGCTATGCTGACTCTTGATTGAGGAGACTTGAGAAGGGCTGAGATTATCTGTATCCCAGAACACATTGAATTTACCATCGGTTGGGGATGAAGAAGATGAAGTGGTGTAATCAATTGCAAATGCAAGTAGATAATGGAATTCGACATTGGGGTTGATGGGTAGGTCTGTAAATTTGACACCGTTGAATTCTGCTCCGATATATTCACGGAATAGGTCTGATTTTGGTGCATTAATATTTTCTTGTGTTGATGCCACCGCTAAAAGCACTTGTAACATGAGAAGAACAATGAAAAGTTTGGAGAACCCCATAATGATCAAACTTCAATTAAAGACAGATTATGTTGAAGCTTGAAGGCTGTTGAACAGAGATAGGAAATCCGACAATTAAATAGAGGAGCTTTCTGACAAATTGTTTACCATGTGATCAGATTAATTAATGTTAATTAACGTGGCGTAAGTGTGCTTCTACTGTTGTTATACTTTATATGTTTAATAGTATATTTTCTGTCTTGATTAATAGGTTAAAAATCTATTCCAAGTCCCATGTAATTTCTAATTTTCTATTTATTTGTTAATGAAAGCTTGTTTGTTTTATTCATGTTATGAGCTTCCGCCTAAAAGTACAAAAACCATGTCGTCAACCCCTCATTGCCACAAACACCAAGTTTTTATCATAACATGACCTTTACAAGTATACAAAACCTGCCATAATTGTCTTTTGTTGTTTCATGATATTATTTGTTATATATAAACCTGGAGATTGATGAATTGATCTTTATCTTCAGTTTCCATTATTTTTTTTATTGGATCCTATATAATTAATTGAAGTCGGAGTATAAACGTTTGGTAGAGATACATAATGTTTTTAAACTTGAAGAAATCATGATGGATGTTCCGATCCATTTATTGCAATACATTACGAATATGATTCAACAGACAGTATCTTATTTCTTATTTGGAAGGAAGAAGAAAGGAAACTACGGACATATGAAATCGAACGTATATATATGCCCATATATGCATGCATGATGAAATAAAGATGATGATCATGCTGCCAATAAAGCCAGAGCAGCTTTTTCATATCTAAAACCGAACTCTTTGGATTCGTCTGCACACCAAACAAATATGCCTCCGAGCTTTCCATCTCTCTTCAACTCTTTGCAGGCCTCAAAGAATCCCTTATTTGGAGGCAAACCTAAGTTACCTTTGCTTATGAAGCTCGCTAGAAGCTGACTTCCTTTATAACTTGAAGCTTGTTGATGATGAAAGTGTTTTACAAACTGTGAAACACTAATCTGATCATACGCATAAAACTGGAAATTCACATAATCAATAACATGTCCATATTTCCTCCATAAAGCCAAGTAATTTCTTTGAACCGGTCCTTCATCTTCATATGGGGCGATAGAAGCAAATTTGATGATCCGATTTTTCTTTAGAATTATTATAAGCCGTCCTATACATTCAACAAAGGTTTCCTCATCATGCGACCTAAAATGTTCATAGTCGATGTCAATTCCATCCAAATTGTATTGCTTGATCATGCTTGTTAATGAAGAAACTGCATTTTGCACCCATGAGTTGATAGATTTTGGAGAAAAAAAAACCTTATTTTTATCATGAACAACACTATCGCCACCCAAGCTAACAGCCACTTTGACATTAGAGTTCTTGGCTTTGACCGATGCTATTGCCGAAGGACCCAAATTTTTAGTTTCCCAGAAAACATTGAATTTGCCATTGGTGGGTGATGGGTGATTATCTGAGGTGTAATCAATTGCGAACGCTAAGATAAAATGGACTTCAACTTTAGAGTTGATAGGAACATCTGATAACTTAACCGAGTCAGATTCAGCACCAATGTACTCCCGGAAGAGATTTGAGTTTGCAGCTGTATGATCAAAAAGCAGATGAAAGCATTAGCTTTAGAGAAACTAGAACAATTAATACAAGCGCTAAGGTGTTGAAACAGGCTTACCACTGCAAGATGAGATAATTAGAAGCACAAAGAGTACAGCCATGGGAACACGGGAAAACACCATGTTTTTTCTACTATATATGAATCGAGAATATGGATTGATGTTTAACCAAGTGCTTATATAGCAGATTTGATCTTTGTTTTCTACTGTGTGAACTAGATTATGATACCGATTTAGGTTTGGGTTTTGGCGTAATGTGTGGTGCTGGACTTATCAATTAGCAGAAAAAAATTCCTTGTTATATCCAGAGATTTTGATGTTTGTTTTAGGTAGAATCCGTATAGGCGGTACCTCCATGACTGGGATGAAGACCGGAATCTTCAATATGGATTGATGTAGAGTTGATTAAAATTAGAGCACCATAGATTCTAACGTGGATGCATGTTCGTCCGAAAGGATGCAACAAATATAATGAATTATATATTGTTTGTTGGTCAAACAGTAGGCTTGTTTAAGATCCAACTATAAAAATAACAATGTTCGCAACTTGAAAGGAGACCGATAATTTTTCAAAATGCTATTGTTTTAGGGAAAACCATTCGAGATAATAGGATCCACTATGGTTTAATAGATTTGGTGTAAAGAAATTGAATGTCTACTTGACGTTTAATGGAATAAAACCAACTATAATAAGATGTACCAAGTTGATATTATATAGATTTGAAGTTGAGTGTTTTGTAAAAAAAAAAAACAATCTCTTTATTATTATTAGGGAAAATGACATATATATCCTATTAGGTTTCTAGGGTTTACCTATTTAGTCACTTAATTTATTTTGTGGTTTTATGAGGGAACAAATTATTTGTAACCTAACAATCTAATCCCTAGCTTTCACATATTATAGCCGGTTTCTATTACCACATAAGCATAAGCTAACATGTAAGCGATGACATGATAAGAATTCAAAGCGTCCCAAAAAATCCAAACTACTGGTTTACATCTTTCTCTTTCTCATAAAAAAAAACCCTTGTACCCTTTCTACAATCCAAAACTAGACAGAGAAAAAAAGAGGATCGGTAATCGGAAAGTACCCATCAATAAATGAAATGGTGAAGTCAGCGACAGAAACGAAATCATAAAGCACAATTGGAAACCCACCTTCAACCTCCAGTTCCACCCCATTGATTCCCACCTTCTACAACGACCCAACTTTCAGATATTCTAAATTAATCGCCTATTCTGAATTAGTCGCAAGTATACCCCTTTGAAACGGTTTAATCGCAGGTATACCCCTTTTTTCTATTCTGAATCAATCTTAATCGATCCCCCTTCTGTAGAATTGAGTGATGCGACAGTGAATGAAGGAAAGTTGTTGATCGATAATTTCGAAAGTGAGAATTCTTGTTCGCTTCTTGTTGATCGTGGATGCTTCCTTGTTAGATGGAAAAACGTATCTATCTTCTCTGTTTTTGCTTAGAAGTTTATATGACAGATGGAAAGATGTTATTGTAATGATAACATCTGATATGTTTGTCCTTTTAAGCAGGTTGATTAGCATCTAATTGCCATTGAAGAAATCGATAACAGGGTTACTATCTAGTTGTACATTTCAACTATATTGTAATCGCAAGATTTGTGATTGTATTACATTCAGGTTAGTGATGTTTTCTTCAAAGCAATTGGATATCTGTAAACCTGAAGATGATGATCGTTCTTACAAGTTTGAGGAACTCAGAAAAGATGAACATGAACTGATGTAGGAGGTGACATTTTTGGTGGTTGAAAATAGTAATGGTTGTACTGGTGGTTAATAGGAGAGGGATAATTTTGAGTAAATGAAGCTTTACATTTTGTGGTTATCAGTTTCTTTAAGGAGATAAAAGATGGTTTTCTTTATTTTTAATTGATTCAGATGTAGAAGACAATCGAAAAGAAAAGAGAGTAATAAATAAAAGATTGTTTTAAGGGTAGTTTTGTCATTTTGTAATTTCTTTTTGTCATAAACACCTTTACATGTAGATTAACACAAAGTGAAAGGAAAAGTGGACTTTTGAAGGTCAAAGTCCACATCATCAAAATAACCAGATGACCGTTTCATTTATTCGAAAAAGACTTAATGGATCTGATAAAAACAAGTTTGTTCCCTAATAAAACATGAAAAACACTTTAAGGACTGAATGAGTAAAACTTAGAAACTTAATAGGGCATATATATATATATATATATATATATATATATATATATATATATATATATATATATATATATATATATATATATATATATATATATATATATATATATATATATATATATCATTTTCCCTTATTATTATTATTTTTAAAATTTCCCTTGAACTATGTGAAGTTCAATTAATACATTGTATATAGAATTTAAATGGTAAAATGATATGAAGCATGAAACGAGGATGTCCCATTTTATTAAACTTAAATATAATGTACAGTGGATGCCTATTATTTTTATTGGGAAATTTAGCTTTCTTGCCCTCTTTCTTATGTTGTCTTCTATATTGAATATCAGGCAAATGCATAAGTGTTGTGCAAGTTAAAATTTTGAAAAGTATATACGGTTGGTTGAAATTTATTAACATTACCTATATAATAATAATTCTTATAATAGATGAAATTAAAACTTTTTTTAACAATATGATTAGATAGACATCTATTAAAATCACATTTCACACAAATAACCTCCACCTAATCTTTTGCATGAATAAAATAAAATATAACTATTGATTTAGTATTATTTTTAACAATTGTTATAATTAATTAATTTAAAAACTATAAATTTGATTGGATATTATTTTTAATTATTGTTATGGTTAATTAATTATAAAAATAATTTATTTGATCAATGTTAAAACCTAATGAAGCACATTTACATGAATTACTTCAAAATCTAAACTATAAAAAAACACATAATAATAATAATACAAAATATTACCTGTGTGAAACATATTCAGTTTTTCATGACTTTCAATTGAAAACATATCATGTGCATTACTCATCTCGTTTACAATTAGTAATTATTAATCATTATATATTATTCATGTCATACATCATCTTCTAAAAAACTTTTTGATTATTTTGGACTTTAGTTTTTTTTAATAGTTTGTAAAATGACAACAAATAATATAACTTTCAAATTGAAAATAGGGAATCAAAAAACTATATTAAAATAACAAACAAAAGCCTAAATTCTAATAATAGAAACAATATGACAAATAAAAAAAGAAGTATAATATGAAGAAAAAACAAAAATAAAATAATAATAATAATTTCTGTGACCAATATGTCTATCACAAAAAACTAAATTGTTGCTTATGTTATAACCTATAAAGTAGAGTTTTTTAAAAATAAGAAAAAAAACATATAATCTAATAATAGAAAAAATGAAGTTTAATATAAAGAAAAAACAAAGATAAAATCCTAATAATAGTTTATTTGAGGGAAAATGACTTATATAGATAACTATGTTTCAAAATCATTCAAAAAATATCATTCAGGTTTGGTGTGTTCAAAAATACCATCAAAGTAAAGCATTTGTACAAAAAACATCAACGAAGTATATTCTTTGTTAAATTTGACATTGTGGTAACTGACAATTACCGGTAAAAAATAAGTAAAGAAAAAAAAACAAGGTATACTCCTAACTTAAACAAGTCTATGCATACGCCAATTATATGCTGAAGCCTAACTTAAACAAGTCCATGCATACGCCAATCATATGCTGAAGCCTCTGCGATCCAGATTTCAATCCAGTACTCCCGGCATACTCCTAGCGTACACCCAGCGTACTCGGCTAGGGTCAAAAACCACAAATCTTCCGAAAGTCATAACTTCTTCATTCTAAGTCCGATTTCTTCATTCTTTATATCCACGGGAAGGAAACAAGAAGCTCTACACTACTATCAACTCTCCCTTGCCTTAAAAATTTTCTAACATAAACCTAAACTTCATAAAGGCTCGAATTGATACTTAATGATATACCCTTAGGCTCCAATACAAACCGAACACTCGGTCCCCACAATCTACATTATCCATAACCAAATGGGCGTTACAGACACCACGACTTGTTACGAACGAATATAAATTCGAATACATCATACACAAGTATCGGAAGCATATCCCAAGAAACATGTAAAATAAATGGTACAGAACAATAAAATAACAAGGAAAGGATAAGAGACGTGCTAGTCTGTAGACCATTTAATAAATGAAGGACCGGTCAAGACTATAAACTCTTCTAACAACGAGCAACCTATAAATACCCCAAAGACATGATATCCGAGGAAAAGTAAAGTAAGGCAAAAAAAGATAGCATACATAGCATTAAAGTAACACTAAGAATCGCAATCTAATTTAGGCATCAGAGAGCTATGACTGGGTTCCAATTAGATTGCAATTTCATTGTCGAAGGCCATAATCGTCGGTTGGACCCCAAAATGATGAAATCTAATTTAGTATTAAGGTAACACTAAGAATCGCAATATGAATGCCATAACCCTCGGTATGGCTGTCTGATGCCTAAATTAGCTCTCATGGATATAAAGAATGATGAAATCGGACTTAGAATAAAGAATTTATGACCTTCAGAAGATTGGCGGTTCTTGACCCTAACCGAGTACGCTGGGCATACGCTAGGAGTACGCCGGGCGTACTAGCTCGACATCCAGACCGTAGAGGCTTCATCATATGTTGGGCATATGTTTGGACTTGTTTAAGTTAGGCCTCAGGACCACCTAATTGTAGCATATAATTTTTTGGGCTTAAGGTCATGTTGGAGATTCTTGGGCCGTATTGGGCCTTAAAGTGTAACATCCCAATTTTCAAGACCAAAATTTCATTTTGATATAACGATTTAGAAAACATTTATAAAAAAACATCATCGATTTTCATCATTCCATAAAACCATAATCACATGTTTCAAAACCATATCATACAAATAATAACAATATTAGTGTACAATCCCAAGAATCTCATAATGTGGAAATCCTGTGTGTGTGTGTGTGTTGTGCTGCTACCGTGTCGGCTCCTTCCCTTTCGATGAAGAGGTACCTAAAAACAAAGCTGAAAACTATAAGCACAAAGCATAGTGAGTTCCCTATCATACCGCACACCATACATAACACATACTACCAGACATATCTTGGTACCCGACCTACCCTACTGAGCATACCGGGGTGCTCAACCTACCCCTACTAGGCATACCGGGGTGCCTAACCTACTCTTGTCAAACATACCGGGGTGTCCGACCTACCCCTCCGATTTATCTCAATCAGTTACGGGGACTATTTCACCCCTACTACTATAACATAAAGACATAACATAATCATACTATCAGGCATACCGGGGTGCCCGACCTACCCTTTGGTCCTATCGACCGGATATGTGGATTATTCCCCATACTACCACTATCACATAACATCATATCATACTAGCATAGAAAACATAACATATAGTGGCAAACTAGACAATTATCACAAAGACAATCATCTCAACTAGAATCAACTACTAGTGGGCCGACATTGGTGCCTTCGATCCATATCTACAGGAAGGTAACTTACCTCAATATTGTGAAGTGTCTGAACTGTACTTGATGCATGGATCAACTCCTCTCAACTCCTACACATAACAATCTTCCCTAATTACCATTTCCCACTCTTAACCCCTTTCAAGGGTCAACTTAGGTCAAAGTTAAAGTTAAGGTCAACACCTTGGTCAAAGTCAACTTTTGGTCAAGGTCAACATCTGGTTGACTCAACTCGCTGAGTTGATCCATCAACTCGCCGAGTTCCATAATCCTTAGAATGCTAAAATCTTCGACCCTACTTGTAGAGTCCTTAAAGGACTCGTTGAGTTCTCCTTCGTACAGAATTGAGGCCTTCTACAACCGACTCGCCGATTTCATCCTTTAACTCGTCGAGTCCTGCTTCATGCAAGTTGGCACGTCTAGTCCTGGACTCACCGAGTTCTCCATGAACTCGTCGAGTTCTTCTTCATGAAGTTGGGACTTAGTCTTGAACTCACCAAGTTTGTTCTTGAACTCTCTGAGTTCCATGATCCTCAGGTCCATAACGAACCCAACTGGCTGAGTCTTCTTTCAACTCAACACATTGCTCGTTATCAGAAGAGGTTTAGGGAAAACTGCGACGTGACTCATCAAGTCGTATGAGCGACTCGTCGAGTCCCTCCATGTCCAAAACTATTATGTCGATTTCAGTCAGCCTTAATGCATCCAAAATGTAGATCTAGTCGGTTTCCGTCAGCCTTAATGCATCCAAAATGTAAATCTAACCTCCTAGGATCCATATTACATGTAAAGTCATAAACTTTACATCCATGCATGGGTCTTCAAGCTTAAAAGACCCAAAAATGAGGTCCACAAGGTGCATGGGACTCCCATGGCCATAAAGTTGGCACCTTTATGTCATGGGAACCCTCAATGGTTCAAGACCTGACGTTATACTCCCTTAGAACCCAACATCCCGAAAATAGCCCTACTAAAGCTTAGAAACGGTAGAAACTTGCCCTAACTAGAGATCTAAGAGATAAATGGTCAAGGTTGAAGCTTTTTACCTTAAACAAGCTGGAATTATGCCAAAACTTCTGGATCTACTTGCCTTCTCTTGATCTCCGAAGACTCCTCTTTCTTCCCAAGCTTCAAACACACAGAAAATGGCACAAAGAGCTCAAGAGCACTCAAAATCGATTAGGGTTTCGTGAGGATGGTCTGAGGGTGCTGGAGGCTGTAAAGGAAGCCATTTAAGGTGTTTAAATAGGGTGCAAACCCTTAAAATTAGGGTTTCACCCTAGCAGCTCTACTCGTCGAGTCGGGGCTTCTGACTTGTCGAGTAGATAACTTAAGTCCCACGTCCCATTCCCAATCTACTCGACGATTTTGGGCCTCCAACTCAT